TATATATATATATATATATATATATATATATATATATATATATATATATATATGTCAAGAGGATAAAAAATAATGATAGTCCTTATAAGCATAATTTATGTACCGAAAAGTAACTGTGCCGTAGTTTCATCTACACCATTAACCAGCTCCATTAGACGATCGGCCCATGGCACGACATAGGTACATTTAGTAAATTGACATGTTTAGCTTTGGCAGTATATGTAGTTGTCTTTAGTCCTACCACCTCAAATATCTTTTATTAATATTATAACTAATTAAGTTTTGAATTCAGTAGATACCGTGCAATGAGAATTTCAATTTTGTTATGCGAGTCTTTTTAATAGTAGAAATATGAAAAGGTTCAATGACTTATAATGCTTGATAGTTTTAAATTGAATTTAAACTTTATTGGCTAATATAATATGATACAAAAGGTGGATTTAATGCTATAGGCGGTCTCTATCAGTCAACCTTTAGGTTATGCAGAGATACTCCTCAATGGTGGTTTAAATAAAAAATATTATTTATATCTTGCTGTAATATAGTAAATGACATACATACAAATATTAATAAAATAAATACATATCATCCTATCAGCCGTTAGCTGTCCACTGCTGAACATAAGCTTTCCCCTTAAGGGGAGTTTTGCCAGTATTTGCCACATTTAGCGAGCGGGTTGGCAATCGCCAGTAAGGCTTCTATTGATGTTTTAAGAGTATATATATACATATACGTGTTCCAAATTCAAAATAATTAAAAAGTTGAAAATAGAAAAGTTTTTAAGGTAACAGTATTTATGGCCAGATATATATACATAGAGATGAATTATGTTACTACTCGTATATAAAATAAAGATTCTCAGATATTTTATATCACACTGTATCCTAGTTTAAAAGGCATGCGACTTGTTTTTACGTCAGTCGAAGACGGTTACCACTTCCCATTATATTTAACGTATTTTTTTTTATACAACACTGAACAGTTAGGAAGCTGACCGTTTAGTTCGCTTGCTCCAAGTATTCGAACGTAATTTTACTTCCCACATTTTAGCAATGTCGGTCTGCATGTAAAATTTTGTGTACGAATAAAAATATTTATGTCCGAATCGGTACCCAACTCGGGCAAGTAGACCGAAAATGTCGTCGAGTCAACTTTATTGGTACTTTATTTAAACTTTATAGATTGAATTTCCATTCTCCACACCCGTTTACATGTCCACACCCCTATAATTTTAAGACGTATCAGTGATTCTTGGTGAAGAACTCGCATCGTAAACATTGATATAGTTCGAAACCGGCGTATGTAATGTAACTTGTTTGTTATACGTACAATAGCCACATTTTCCTTATGGCCAACATACTTTCTTGAAAGTTCGACAATATAATTATTACATGAACTGATCATATGAAAGATATAATATAATATTATATCCTTTTATTCATTATATTAATATAGTATAATATTGTCGGCATCTAGTACTATTCTTCGAGAGATCATTGTTTGTTTCCTCCTATCTTTATTTACCTATATATGTATGTACGTATATAATACGATTATAACTAGGTTCTCTTTGCATGGATCGTGAAAAAATTATTGGTTGGATGATAATGAAATTTCAACAGTGTTACTTAACACCAGTGATAGTTATAGTGATAGTGAGAGTGTTAGTTAGAGATGGTGATAATGTTAGTTAGAGATAGTGATAATGTTAGTTAGTGATAGACGTTTAGATGATTAGAATAGCTAAACAGATTTGAATTTGCGATACAGATGGATCGCCGATACACAGAATCTTTTTTATACTAATTTAAACAAAGCTTGGAGTTACAGCTAGACTTGTAATTTGCAACTAGCGTGCACTCTTAGTATAAACATGACTTAACTAAAAATTTTGGCAAAATGAGTATTAATGAAATAATTACTCAAGAAAACAAAATAAAGGGCTCGAGAAAAGGGGAGCTGTTTTTAATTAAATTGTAAATCTTTATTATGACAAATTTTGACATAATAAACGCTTCGTCAGGCGTAGGCCGTAATAGTCACTCATCATTAAGGGTCTCGGATGATCTTGAAACTAGTGAAGTATTTCCGATTAAAATTCATATAAATTAATCCGGATATTCTCACATTAAAATATAACAAAACAGATTTACAAACAACTTCGTCTACATGATCGGAATATTGACTAAAAACAGCCTCCCTTTATTATCCTAAACTTACGTATATGGGAAGTTTCATAACGTTTGTTTGAGGTGTTAAAATACCAAGTGATAATAAACAAATAAACATATTTGCACATTTATGTATACCATATGAAGTTAAAGAGTTTGTTTGAGAACGCTAATATTTGGAACGACAAGCTGAATTTGATAGCTCATTTCTTAAGAAACTGATCTGTTGGGAAGTATAACGAATTTCCCAATTTTATGGCGAATATTAAATAGATAATAATCATTTAATAATCAATTGCTTTTGTATATTTGATAGAAAATTATATAATCAAAAAACAAAAGAAGAACAATGACTGACAAAATAAAAGTATGAGGACTTATTGTTAACATCTATACACTTACCATGTTTCTTGGAAATAAATAAACAAATAAAAGAATATATGTCTATTAAAATAAACTAAAAGGGTAAATATACCAAAATAAACCGAATTAGTAAGAATATTATGAGTACAATATTTACTAAAACTAATTTTGCCAAAATTGTGACTTAAGTCGGTATTGTAATAAGAGAGTTACTGCGTTACTTTTAAGTTTGTTCCAGAAAGTTCCACTACACAGCGGTGGCGGTGCAATAATCTAGAATCTACATTTAGACTTTCAGCCAGACTAGAGGGCAGACTGCGAGACAGCGACAGACAAATTACTGTTTAACTACGGTTTCTAGCACTTGCGTTTAAACGCGATGCCTCTGTAATAATATAGTCTAGCGTAGACTGTTTACACAACTGAGATTATATTTCAAGAATAACAGTAACAAAATTATCTTATTTAGCATTTAATGGTGTCTGCAGACATTACAGTAATCTCAGAGGTGTAGTGTACGAATAGCTTTAGGATTTAAATTAACATGTTCTAGAGTTATTTTGTATTTGTATTCTAAATTTAAATGTTTAACATCTAAACTTAAATTTAGAATTAGAAAGTTTCACTAATCCTCAATCGCGAAGTGAGAACAAAGATAAAGACAGCCATAGAGAGGTAGTTGTCACGCTTGGCAGGCAGATTGGCAATTGCAGTTAGGCTTTGGAGATGTTTTAAGAGAGACTCTGTAGTCCATCCCTCGTCCTCTTTTAGTTGCCTCTTACGACACCTACAGGAAAAGTAGGGGGTGGCCTATTCTATGGCCGGCCCACATGGGAAAAATATTAATTCCACTTAAGTTCAGTATTAAAGTAGGAAAATGGTCTTAATTAAGCTCAGCAATGTCAGAGGTAACAAATTTTTTCTGGGGCCAACATGGTGTTAAGTTGATTGCTTTTAAATTAAAATAAAAAGTAGTAATTTATAAAAAAGAAAATACAAATGAATTGAGACCCTCGTCGTTTTTGAAGTCGTAATAAAATCACTCTAGAACGGTATTAGTTATTTATATTATTTTAATATACTTTAAATATATTTATGGCTTATATTTTAGCTTTGCAGCGGCGTTTAATAATGCATAGCGTAAAATGAAATAAAATATTTGTTAATGCATTAGCTTAATTGTTAAATTTTAATATTTAAATAGTTAGTGTTACTTATGATTTACTATTTATACAGCTTAAATTGTTTATTATTTTTATTAGTTTTAATATTTAATTTTAAAATTAAATGATTTCTTTTAAAATAATATTTCTTTTTCAGTATCTAGTGACAACACAGTAGGAGACAAACCCGAATATAACGATTGGTACTTTACGATTGGTAGTTTTTTTTTGTTTTTGTTTTTTTCACTAAGTAACAATCGTCTGCGTGGAATCTAAACGTCTCCTACTCGGTGTTGCCACAACTAAAAAAATAATATAACCGTATATGGTACGCTAGTCGCTGATTTGAGACACCACGGTCATCGTCTCGCTTGTCAGACCTTTTTGATGGCATCCCAGTAATTTCGTCCTTTCACGGTTTCGAAAAAAGAAGCAATGGAAGAACGATTGATGTGTTTTTTTGTGGACTGGTGAAGCGAGAGGATGATTTCTGTCGCTGTCAATGATAAATGAATACTTTTTGTTGCTTAATTCGCTTTATCACTGACAGCGCGGACTTTTAAATGGCTCCCGTTAAATCCGCGGCACTATAAAAGCTTATATAAACATACAACAATAAAGATAAATTTTCCTAATCTATTTAATTTTGATACTGCTTCTCTTCTATAAAAAATCAAATAATGCTTAATATATTGCATAAAATATAATATATGCGGTTTAAATTTATATTTAAAACAACATTAGGTTATTTTCTAGACTATTCTAAATTTAAATGCGTGTAATAGCCATTAAAATAATTTTGTCTATCTGTAACGGAGAGAACGTTTAATTTGTTCGCAGCTTTTATTAAAACACTTTTAAGAATTAATAACGCCGAATTTGTAACAACTTGTGATGTCTTGGGTACATTCTGTGAAACTTCAAAGGAACTTTTTAATGAAATTTTAAGGCTTGTTATTGATCAAAGATGCTTTCAGTTAGGTTTGTTTGCGAAGCGAAAGCGACTTGATTAGGGTCAGTAAATTAATATGAAAATAAACATTTCCATAACATTATAATAATAGTACGGAAATTTGAATATTTTGTAGAAGCGTAAAAAATTAAATGAAAATAAAAGAACATATTTTACAGAAGCGTACTTAATTAAATGGAAATAAAACTAAATAAGTCATTACAATATTAAATTAAAATTAATATTACAAATAAATTTTAAAGGTTTGTTGTCGTAATAAAAATTAGAATCAGGCAAGTGCTGATTCTATTCTAGAAACAAGCAGTGACGTTATTCTTATTGGTACTATAGTGCTGACGAGGGTTTTGACGGGACCTACCAGACCAACGTGGTGGTCAGAAACAACGGCAGTTGCCTGTACGTGCCTCCTGGCATTTTCAAGAGCACATGCAAGATAGACATCACTTGGTTCCCCTTCGACGACCAACACTGTGACATGAAGTTCGGTAGCTGGACTTACGATGGCAACCAGGTACAGCGTACACTCCGCGCTAATTTGCTAATAATGCTGTTACGCCCTTACTTACCGCCAGATTTATCTTGCACAAAATGTTGCTTTCAAAAGCTAATACATGTCGTTAACAATAAGTTGATGTGAACTAAGTAATGCCAGTACTTTGCATTCGAAATTACAGCTATTAGTTTTATGATCTACCCGGTAATAGTGACGGATGGCTTACAAAGTGTGCTCTTTACTTAATGGGGTCTCTCTTGTAATCCCGGAATTCCCAGTCGTTATGTCGTAATATGTTCTACAAATGTATTTTATGAAAATAGTATCTGGCTATTAAAGTAATTATTTCAATTCATCTAAAGTTTTTTAATATTGATAAATAAATGGTAATAGTAGGTAAAAGAATATTAGTTGATTAGGATTTAGGGCCAATTGAGGGAACCATGTGAGAAACCGAAAGGATATTAGATATCCAAAGTTTTGTATGTACTATTTTGCATGGAGCAAATAATTATATTCACATGATAATTTAAAACAAGAAACATGTGAATGTACATCGACTGTACTACTGTATACTGCCATACGGATACGTGAAAAGTAACGCAAAAACTGTAAGTGACAAAAGCTATATACAATGTTTTAATGATTTTGACTCTATAAAGTTTATTTTGTTTTTGCCAGTTTGATAAATTCTGTGAAATTATCAAGCAAAGAAGTATGATAATGGTAATTATTTTAATAATGTAGAATATTATATAAATATCTATACAAAATTTAAAAGGGCTTATTTGTTTAAAAGTTTTTATAAACTGTTAGTTTTTTATTGTCATATTTCACTTACAAAAGTCTAACAAGTACGTTGTTTTTGTATTTGTGATGAAGTAGATTCCATTCTCTTCATAATTTACACCAATCTTTATTAAAAAATCATTATAAAAAATTATAACAAAAATATTAGTTGACTTTATTGAAACTCAATAACACTGTATAAAGCTTTTATTTGAATTTAGTTCGCATGTGCACGATATCAGTACTAACTTCTCCATTGTCATCATCACAAGTTTCCATTTAGTATTTCCAAAACATAGTTATCTTTCTCGTTGTTCTAAGTTTGCAATCTCTCTCTTGTATTAAAACTCATTATGTTTAGTTTGTTGCTAACAAGTATCTTAATCTAACTTTGTCGTCCTTATGAATATAGAATCAAAATTATATACTAAAGTGTATTGTGCTTTACATGTGTATATAATCATATATATCTGTTTGTATGGTTCAGAATATTTTAAATATATTATAGTGTTTTCTTATCCACATGCATAATAAAAGATTTTGAACATAATATGTAATGTAGAAACATTGAATATAATATTAATATGTACAATACGAAAGCTTGAAACCTTACAATAATATGTACAAAAGCATGTAACAGATTTAATTAATGTTATTTTGTTGTATTTTATTATAATAAAATTGTCAATATTATATTCAAACTATTTAGCCTTTTCAGATTAGATTATTGTTCTTTTATTATAGTGAATTCTTTACATTTATATTCACTAATATTTATAAATTAACTGAAATAATTACCCTAATTTTCTAAATTAAAACACAAGAGTCTTCGTTTAAATTTTTGTTTTGTCTATTAAAAATGCTTGTCCTAAAGTTTAGGTAAAACCTTTGAATCCTTGAAATGTATCTATAGATTTAAATATTTTGTTTGCTTCTTATAATGCCTTGCTTTAAGTCTTTTTGTAATTGCTTTAATGACAATTTAGAATCTCCATCACCACAAGACCATCTCTTCCACGATATAGTAGCAATATTACACTGTTTTTGTTAATGAAAATAAACAGTAACGTAACGTATGGCGGTAACTCTATTATCCTCATAAATTTATTTCTTGTTTGTGCATCTTCTTTATTTTGATCTATTCTAGTTGAGCACGTCTTATTTTAGGTTCTCACATTTCCCTTTAAGTAATTTAGATACCTGAGCATAAAAATTAATTAATAGCATGAAAATTAATTTGCATGGTTTGTTCCCTGATTAAGGTTGTGTCATTAATACTTACATTGTGTGTGTGACGTTTGTATGAGTTATTACTTTTCTAACAGCTGGATCTCGTGCTAAAAGACGAGGCCGGAGGTGATTTGTCAGACTTCATCACGAATGGGGAATGGTATTTAATTGGTAAGTCTTTCAATAGCTAGTAGAATTTTGTGCATCCACAAGGTTAATTTAGTTGTTGACGTAAGAAAGAATTTGAAACATGATATAATAGGTTTTGTACAATATAATGAGAATGCAAATCCATTGTACTAATATAATTTATGTACTTAAATTACAAAAAAATAACTTTAATTAAATTTACAACAATAATATATTTTAATTAATATAATTTAATATATTTATATTTATTTACATTTAATTTAAATTTTATGTAATAAATTACATAACTACAATTTATGTACCTAATTAAATTGAAATTTATTTACAATAGGAATGCCTGGAAAAAAGAATACCATAACGTACGCATGTTGCCCGGAGCCGTACGTCGACGTCACATTTACCATCATGATTAGGAGACGAACTCTTTACTACTTCTTCAACTTGATAGTGCCATGTGTTCTCATCTCTTCTATGGCGTTATTGGGTTTCACACTACCTCCCGACTCGGGGGAGAAACTTACACTCGGTTAGTACATTTTTAATATTTTTTAAAATTTAAAAAGAAGTTTGAATTTACGAGTATATCTATACGTGATGTCGTAATTGGAGCTAGTTATGCAGAAAACCGCCACATTATCTAGGATATCTATGAGAGATGGCTATTAACTTACATAACTTGCTGCAATTATTTATTAAATATTTTTATTGAATTAGGTATTACTTTGTGGAAATTTATATTAGACTGATCAATTGATTAGTATTATTTAGTTTAATTCCACTACCATTAGTATGCGTCTGATATTTTGAGTTTAGTGCAGAGAGATCGCTACTAGCAGATCTCTATGACGTTTTGCCTAGTAGTCATTATTAGATCCAACCATTATAAAGTTTGCAGTAATGTTTAATAACTGATATAATCATAGATCATAAAATTTCTATTGGTGGTAGTAAATTCTTTGCATTGAAAATTATTAGTCGCGTACATAGTAATGGTAGCGAAAATAAACAAGATAATACTATTCAAGTTACTTATTAAATGTTGTGTTGAAGTGGAAGAAAGAACGTGTGAAAATTTAGTGAATAAATATAAAATGGAATATTAGTGCCATATAGAGCTGATAGATATGATGTGATTAATAAAAACCAGCATATATATATTGGCTGGTGTTAACAGGTGTGACGATATTATTGTCGTTAACCGTGTTTCTCAACCTGGTCGCTGAAAAGATGCCTTCAACATCGGATGCGGTCCCTCTTATAGGTATTGCACCGTAGGAGACACCAGTGATACCAAAAACGCACGATGCTTCCTGAATACTAAAAAATTATTAACTTATTCATTTGGGCATGAATTTTTGAAAATTATACTTTTTATTGGTGCTTGAGTTCAATGAAATGAATTCTCATAATATAGTGTTTGAAAATCAATATTACATTTGACACATGGAAGAGTAAATTTTGGCTTATACATCATATGATATACTTATTCAATGCAGATTGAAAAGGCCAAAGACGCGATGAAATGTTTTCACACGTGTACGGAAGCAACGTACGCCTAAAATAAATATTAGATTGTCTCTAGAATGTGGTATGACTGTTTGTGTCCGTGTTAGTACACCCTCGATGTTGCAGAGTTTAATATTAAACATTGGTAAGTATTATATGGAGTAGACGCAATTCAGTACAGTATATTACATTTAAAATTCATCACCATTCATTTAAAAAGACTATAACCATGCAGAGATTTGTCAGTGATTTGTCACGGAAAAAATGGGGTCTAGCAATCAAGGCGCAAAAACGGTTTGGAGAGTTGTGTGCAGTTACTCACATGAAATTTGAATGCTGATGACCTAAATAAAGGAGATACATCGGCTGGGGTGTTAACAATGTGTTTGATTGCAGGAGTCACTATTCTTCTCTCGCTGACGGTGTTCCTCAACCTGGTAGCCGAGACCCTGCCGCAGGTCTCCGACGCAATCCCCTTGTTAGGTACACTACCCAAACCTCTCCCCTACTTTTGATATTTCATCCTCTAATCCCATGTTATTTTTCTTTATAATCACATTATTGTTCAATTCATTTTACTTTTCAATATTATTTTTTCAGCTCTCATTATTAATTGTTTCTTCATAAAGCAAATTTAAATTACAAGTTATTTTAAAACATTACAAGGAGTAAATTATGTACGTTAAAATGTTTTAGCTTTAAATGGTTGTAAGCTTAAATGTCGTCGTTTGATTATTATTTTGTCAGTAATAAAAAATCATTTAAAATTAATAGATTTATTAAATCAATCATGCTTTTTGCTTTTTATACAGTTGTAATTGTAATTTGATGGAAAATATGAGATACAAGCGTTTCACTAAAGGTAAAATAAAATGAATTATGTTCGTAGAAGGCGGAATTTTATTTTGCCATATTTTTCCATATCTTGGAGTCGATTTCGCGGTTCTAGGTTCAAGGTCTGTTGCTACCTTGTAATAACTCTTTTGTGAAGTTTAAATATTACGTATTATGTAATATAACCACAGATATTTACGTAACGAGTGGCATGGCATGTGATTTTGATGATAAAACTTTGTCTCTAAGAATACTGGACTGTAAAGGTAAGTTAACAATTTATACATATCAGTGTTACTTACTTCTTCTCGATGTTTCACGATCGTGTTTTATTTAATCTATAATTTTGTTCACTTATTGTATAACGCGTAATCGATTCCATGGTGTGAAAAAATTCTCTATATTTTTTGTTCTGAGTGTTATTTAATAAATAAATATACCGTGACACTGGAGTTGTCATGGTAAGATACTTGGAGGGTGGTGTAAGTCATATAAAATATTAATCAACCCTTCTATTACTAACACTAACTTTAATATTTTAAGTAATTAAATAATTAAAAACAGCATAAAACCCTCTCTAAATAGTGTTTGCATGAGTACTTTGTTTTGTTTTGTTTATGATTTGACTTGAGCCCCTGATACCGACTCAGCACACTAACAGGAGATGAGGCCACGTAGGCCTCTTACGAAATTATCAGTTTCTTTACTGGATGGGACACGAACTATGCTTATAGGTTTTATGGGTAAACTAGTGAATAGAACATTTTGTTTTTTATAGAATATTATATTGATCTTTGCAGGTGTTACAATTCTCCTGTCGCAAACTGTTTTCTCTCTATTGGTGGGGCACGTCATCACAAAAACCTCAGAGGCGATCCCCCTAATAGGTGAGAAACGTCCACGCGTTTTCTGCCAAAATTTTTTCTTAATCTAAACGATAATTAAAATAAAAAAATGAATTGATCTTAAAAATAGATCCTTTCTTAAACAGACTAAATAAGAATGTGTTGCGAGGAATATATATGGTTTAACATATTAAATACCTCTTGACCATGTAAATCGAAATTGTTTTAAAAATGTATTCCTTTGCACATTCTTGAAACACCAATTTAACAAAGATCTAAATAGAATGCAACCATGTGCTTGAAATATCTAAAATTAAAAAGAAACATATTCTTACTTTTCCTGACTTCGACTTGCATTTAGAGCCTCCATATTTCTGGAGATTATTCTATGCTTTGCAGGGTTCTTGCCAGCTCTCGACACTTCAAATAGAGTTATTGCACTTTTCGTACAAGCTAGAAAAAATCTTAGCTGTACTATTAGAAATATATGAAGTCATCGTATCAGAAGGATCGAAAGTTTTTCAGTTACAGGCATCCAATCTTCTTGTAATGTATTAAAATAATTTAACGTCTGTCAACCTTTGCCTCTCTGTTATCCATTCATTAAAATTTCGTTTCATAATTTTCCTATTTTACTTTTCATTCTATTATCTACTCCGATTGGCCTATTGAGCAATGTAGAGTTCCTATACTCGACTGCTGACGTCACGTTATGATATTGAGCATGTAATTTGTTCTGAGCTGACTATGAAAGAGCGATTTAAATGCACAACTCTCCTGTTGAAACTAAATGTAAATACGCTTATAAATATGTAGGTTTGGTTTGCTTGTAGCAGTTTAAAAGCAGGATATAAAGTTAAACAGCGGTTTATAGCAACAAAGTGGATGCGGGTAGAGAGGGTCCAGCCTCCAAGTATCTCGCGAACATCGGCTCTCGCAACTTATCTGGTCTGTTTCACTCACTACAATTGACTGTTAATAAACTTGCTGTCATATTGACAAAGGGATTAACTGGAGATAACAAGCAGAATTCCTTTATCAATTATATAATAACCTCTTATAGCACTAAATATATAAATGAATCTAAATATGTATAAATGAATGTAAATATGTTTAAATGAATGTAAAAATTATAAATAAAAATATGTACTGAGTAATATAATTGATAAAGTTTTTAGTTATTTTATATTTTAACGCTATAGGGGTGTTAAAAAAATTGGAAAAGCTTGTGTTATTTAATGATCATTTGATTATCGTTTCATAAAAACTATAATAACACTTACATGATTATAAATGTTATTATAATTTATATAAAACATGAGCATTTTCAACATGACAGTTAAACAAAAACACTTATCTACTTATTTTGTGATTATTTGTCGCATTTAAATCTCAACATAATAATTTAATAGCACTATTTTATAATTAATTTCATAATTTAGACTATATAAATTTATATTCAATTAGTATAAAACTCTAACTAACCTGATTTAACAGTGTGTTTTGTCCTTTTCTTTCAAATTATGAGTTTAGCTTGAATGAGAGAGCCAAACATATACTTCAATAGCTAAATATAGATAATATATAAATATTAGATTAATTATATTCTTATGAATAAGTAGTAAATGTGGCAAATACTACCAAATGAGTCATTCGCTGATTAGACCTGCAAAAGCTTTAATCATATAAATGTAGAACATTAACTGCATGTTCATATAAAAATGCATGAATTTCATATTTTGATGTCGTTGTACTGTAGTGTACTTAAATAAATTAATGCAGACTGTAAATTGACGGTTTATATAATGTTTAAAATAAAACAGCAATTATAAAAAAATTATATTAAAAATTTACAATTACATTAAAGTACTTAATTTTCTCCTTAAAGTTTTTATTTATTTCAACGTTCATTTTGGTGATTTCTTTTTTTATTACTGTAATATTATAACGTAAGGACTTGTTTTTTGAAATTCGCAAAGTTCAGTTGCATTTTAATATAAAAATCAGTGTATGTACATTGTAGATATTATAAGGAAAGTATACACAATAAAATTTATTACTTAAAACATTTGATAAAATAAAAAATATGATTCATTTACTATTTTATAACATTTTTCTTTATATTTCCATATAACAGGAACATATTTCAACTGCATCATGTTCATGGTGGCATCGTCTGTGGTACTGACAGTGGTGGTATTAAATTACCACCATCGAACAGCTGATATACATGAGATGCCACAATGGGTAAGTATCATTGTATCGTATTGTATTGTAAACCTTTATTGTACATAATTTACATTAGACATATTTAATATACAATGGCGGACTTGTCCCATAGAAAGTTCTCTTACAGCTAATCTTTGAGACATATTAATTATAATAATGCCACACTGTTAGAATAAAATAATTTATTTTAAAATTTGTTAATATACAAAACTTGCGGTGTATTGTAATGTACTCGTATTTATTTCTTTAAAGTCTACTCAATAATTTAAAATTAATTGTATTTACAAATACGTAATAATGTGTGCATATTACAAGGGGAATTTTATCCTATCCAAATATCAGTGCAAACAATTTTTGTATTAAGAAAGAAATAAATTACAATGAGGAAGTCCCGGAGGAAACAAGAGGTGCTTTATGCGAATCGTAATACGATTTATTTCGCATTTATTAAGTCAATTTAATTTTAATTCTAGCCGAGTTGCAATTATCTCGAGCTAATAGCTTAATAGTAGCAGATTAGTATAGTTTAATTAAAAGATAAATATAAATGAATCGTCATGATTTTTAAATCTACAAAAAATATAAACTTTTCAATTTATTATTCAATACTTTTAATTTTGTATGCTTTTAATTATGTATTTATATTTTGTATGTTTGTATGTATTTGTTTCATATCTTTTATTACGTACGAGTACTTTTTATTTATAGTAATAATCGATGTGTTTTATATTTTGACGATAAAAACGGAAATCGTATTTGAATTCTGAATTTAAAAAAAATTAATTTTATTATGTGTTTCACGAGATATCATAATGATATAACGGAAAATGTTGAACAAATTGTAAAAATACACGTAGACGCATTTCTGTAAGGGCCATTGTACTCCTAAATGTTTGTGAGTACCTTTTATTACTCAAAGTGCTTTTGTTTTTTGTCACGAAGATCTCTAACATTGTTGCCATGTTTAGAGTATTTAGAGTTTTGCTGGGGATAAACAAAGATTATAATTTTGTAATGTCGCTTACATTTGTAGAATTAATTAACTACCTCTCCACTTAAATACGTATATTACAAGATCTTTGGAAAATTAACATGTTTGCTCAAGGCATCGATTGTGTACACAGAAATTTCATTTGTCAAATAATGAGAAAGAATATTGCAACTTCTCATTTCATTATTTCCAAGTTTTATAAAATTGAGCACAAAGATTTAATCTTAGTCTATAAAAAAAGATTTGTTTATATTTACATATTCGCATAGGAAATGGATAGATAAAATACTTACTAATTGTAAAATTATGTTATAATTATAAAATAAGTTCGAACAACTCCTCTGGATTTACTAATTTCTAAAGGCTGCAGTGATCACTTACCATCAGGTCAGCTTCATGCTTGTTAGCTTCAAATTTAAATAAAAAAGTAAGTTCAGGTTCACGTAAAAAGTATTTGATAGCACAGAGTATATGTAGTAACGTAATTTAAAAAAAAAAATCTATTGTATTTTTTTCTATTGTAATAAAATAATCAAAAAACCGACTTAAATTGTGGAAATATCTATTATTTTGATTTAAAAACTAAACTACTGATTTCGATTTTGATAAAATTTCTATAAGTCCAATTTGTAAGTTGGAAAATCGTTTTTTGTCTGAATGGATATACTTACATTCAGATAAAAAAAAAAACATTTTTCCATAACTGTTTATTACTGACGGAGATATGAGGTAACAAACATAAAAAATACCGTGGAAGTGCTTCTTTTTTTAAAGTCAGCTGAAAATACGTGATGCGCCACGCTGTATTTTAGGTTAGGTTCAGCTTAGCTAATTTCCGGCTCAGGATTGCCGATGTCGATGACAGCTAACTATGTATATTTTCAATTATAAGCTGCCTCTCAGTTTTGATATGTTTGTCCCGCTTCAGCTCTCTTAATTATAAAATAAATTATGTGAAAAATCTAAATATATCTAGAATATTATATAAATTATTACAAAATTGTTTTGGTCACTTACAAAGGAGTTCTCATATTTTTATACAACTTTGGAAATTTAGTAAGAGAGTATCATATATTTTTAGTTGGTTGTTTTTCATAACTTATTGGTTTAGAAAAAGTTTCAGGTTTCGTCGGGGATCGTATATCATAGATATTTTTAATCATATTTAAAAAAATGTAAAAAGCTAATTATATTTTCCTTTTAACAGATAAAAACAGTGTTCCTCCAATGGTTGCCGTGGATACTGCGCATGTCGAGGCCGGGGAAAAAGATAACGCGTAAGACGATCATGATGTCCAATAGAATGCGTGAATTGGAGCTCAAGGAACGTTCATCTAAGTCTCTGCTAGCCAATGTGTTGGACATTGATGACGACTTTAGACATGCCCCGCCACCGCCGAACAGCACGGCATCTACAGGGAATTTGGGGCCAGGGTAAGATTTATTCATAATTACGTAGTAGTTCAGTATCTGCCTAGTAACTATTGGACATAGAGGAGACAGTTATTATTTACATAGATTTAAATTCGCTAACTCGTTGATGATTAATTTTTGATGAATTCGATTCATCACGATTTACCACCAATCTCGACTTCATCTTCAACTGTTATATCGCATTGGTACTCCAACAAAATGATTTCATTTTTATCAATTAAAAAAATGGCAACCAGCCACTATAGTGAGCTCATGCTCAATTCGGCAATACCAGTGGCAACATTATCGCCTTGCCGACTTGCGATATCTAATTTCATTTGAGTCATTCAGTTAATTTCACTACCTTATCTCGTCCTGTAAGCCGGAACACAGCATACAAGTAAGCAGAAGAGTTTCTAGAAAAGACAAAGGTATGTTTATATATTTACGACTTACAATTTTCCTCTGCGAGTGTTATCTCTAATGTCACATAAATCTGCGATTTTTGGCAACTTGCTGGTCGAAATACAAGAGATAGCCGGCCAAATATATTTGCTGCGTCATTGCTTAATACCTGCACCGCATCTGTAGATTTGGGGTCACAGTGATTGATGTCTTCAATTAGCTTGGACTCTAGTTGAAATGGATATCATAATGATATAACAGAATTATGTTTGTTTGGAATCAGATTTTTGAAATGCGATAAAATCAGAAAGTTCTTTTTAATGATATTTAGTACACTACTTAGCAAATACTGACAACCGTCGTCTCTAGATAAGTACAGCGCCATGAATTTTACAAAATACATTCTAATATCTATGGTATCACTATAGCGTTGCTATTCTTACGATTACGGTATAATACTTTCGTACCCTGTAATTTCACTGCTATATCCCCAACCTTGGCCGTGTGATCTTGGCATAGAATGGACCACCCTTTCTTTTCCGTGAGTGTCGTAAGATACGACTAAGGGAATTCAGTGATCGAGGTAAGGGCAGCAGCATCTCTTATAAAATATTACCGAAGCCTAACTGCGGTTGTCAACTCGCCTGCCAAGCGTGGCAATTACTGGCAAGCCTCCTCAAGAACCTATGTTTAGCAGTGAACAGTTAAAAGCTAATATGAATGTATGAGAAAAATTCATACTGTTAGACGGTAGAAACACGAATGCTACAGAAGTACTCATGCAGATAGCTTTTGTAGAATCCTAATTATTAATAATTGGTATTCTAAAAAATAATATTCGTCAAAGTAAGATACTCTTTTTTATACAACTTAGAATGGCAAACAAGTTGACGGTCCACCTGATGGAAAGTGGTAACCGTCGCCTATAGACATGAGCAGCACCATGGACATAACAGAGTATACTGTTTCGCCCATGATACCCCCATGCGTTGCCATTCCTGAGGACTCAGGTGTTATTCCTCTGTACCCTGTAAATGGGAGTAAACGAAAATTTGATAGTCTATAATATACATTTCACCAGAATAATAATAAGAATAATTCAAATTGCTAGTGACTGTTATTTGCGCGGTAAATCTACCTATAAGAATTTACCTATAAGAAATTGCTTTTTTAGTGTCATCCTCAGGTTTCCTCGTAATGTATCTATTTTTTCATCTATTATAATATATTTTTTTATTTACGTATATTACTTGTTTATTTTTTTTTATTAATTTTATTCTTACACTTTTATTTTTTATACACGTGATGTATGTGTAACTAGTCGGTAATTTGTACAGGTGTTCAATATTTCGCACGGATTTCCGTCGGTCATTCGTGCGGCCGTCGACTATGGAGGATGTGGGAGGTGGGCTCGGGAGCCACCATCGAGAGCTCCACCTGATCCTCAGGGAGCTGCAGTTCATCACAGCGCGGATGAAGAAGGCCGACGAGGAGGCCGAGCTGATCAGCGATTGGAAATTCGCTGCGATGGTTGTTGACAGGTAATATGTTATTTTAAATGGCTAAGCAGTTATTTTTGTTGTTTACAAGCAGTTAAATGCAGCCGATTAATATATTGATGATAAGCAAAAAGTTGAGTTTAAAGATTTCCAAGGGTTTATTGTAATCGTTAAATATATTTTTACATTTATAAATGACAGATTGAATATGGATTAATAATTTAAAAAAATAATAATTCATTATAGTAATTTTCATTTAATTTATTTGATTGTTTAATTTTTTTAACTTCTACTATGGTGCATTTGCTTTGTTTTACAAAAGGTAAAGTTTTCCATTTAATGTTTTTCAAAGTTTAAGAGGTGTGAATTTCAATTAACTTTTTGTATGTATTTATTGAACTTTGAGTCCTTTTCAAATACACCTTTATTGCTTTACTTTAGGGTCCTTGATACCTGAAATTTTAATAATATATGGAACTTGATACTAAATCAAAATTTTACACAAGCAGTCAAACAAAAGTATATAAATTCAATTTTATTTAAAAAAGAATCTTAGAAATTCCATGTATATGCATTATTTTTTATAACAATATTTAGCATCACTTATATGAACATTATAACAAGTTATTATAATAAAAATATTATTTTTCATCCTCAATAAATAAATAAATCTATTTATCAAATATAATCAAATTTAGTTTATTATTTTAACAGAAAATATTTAAAATAGCAGATTTTTTTTAATAATAACGAAAGGAACTGATATTTAAAAGATTATTCATAAAAATGTTTCAAATATTACACCCCCATAAAAATCATATTACCTAGATAGACAGACAGACAGATAGATACTCTTTATTGTTTCCTGCAAAAGATTAAAACAGTAAACTTATTCTAGATATAAACAATTACAAGAAATAATCACAATGAGAAAACAATGGGCAACCTTATCGCTAAAAGCGATCTCTTCCAGGCAACCTTTGGATGGAGAGGACCCTACCTCCTACCTTAGATACCTAGTAGTAGTAGACAATTTTTTTTTATTACTGCAGCGGTTAATAATTTTCCTATAGTAAAACAGCCATAACCTAGTATTTGCCCTCAGGTTTTGCCTGTTCGTGTTCACTCTATTCACAATTATCGCAACGGTGGCCGTGCTGCTCTCGGCGCCGCATATCATCGTGCAGTAATCACCGGTACCGCCGGTGAGCCCGCCAGCGACCACTGGCCCCCAACTACGAGAGAACTAATCTTAGACTTCGCCGAACGATGTAATTATAATTATGTATAATACTATAACTTAATACGCGGTTGAAACGCACACGTCTCCATTAACTAAGTCGAAAGACGGTAAATATAAATACCATAATACGTTAAATAGCGTAGTTAAGTCCAACATATTATTAAACGATTGTGATGTTGACTAGAATGTTATACAGATAAATGTTGACGAGTATAATTTGTTAAAGAATATAATTATATTTCTAATTAATACGGATAAAGAGGTTATTAATAAAGTTTTCGTTAAAGGGACCGATGATAAGTGTTGCCCGGGTGTCGACATTGACGCCCTACGGTTTACATGATGCGCTTCAAGCTTCAAAGATCGCAATGAATTTCAAATGGAATAAAATTTATGGAAGCTTTTGGAAAGATATTTGAAATATATTTTGTATCAGTACGAAATGGAAGGATTCATAGGATAAATGAAGAAGTCTTTTCCATAAGGTAGATTATATACAGATTGGTAACTGTATCCTTTATATTAACAAATGAGGGATCATAGACGATGACATTACACTAGGGCATTAAGTAACGTGTACATAACATAAAGGATCAAATAATGGTAGAATTGAATCAAAGTAGCCTACTTTAGATTATGTTGTAAGAGAATTGCGTCTAGAAACAGTGAGAAGTGTAATAGGCAAACTTCAAATTGATTTCTTAAAGGTGTCCATCAACATCAGGAATTTTCAGCAATGGAATTGATAAAGGCAGTTATTAAAAGAACCAAAGTATTGGTAGATTAGTGAGTAAACACGGATAAAGATGAATTTAAAACAATAAAGCAGTCTGAAAAATAAATAGTAAATTAACAGTTCAATAATTGCATGATTTAATATTAATGAGAAGCTATGATTTAATAGATAATGTAGTTACATATATTCGTTTTAGGAATTACATAGAATCTAATAACTACTTTGTTCAGTTCATGTTTTTGCAATGTTAAATAGTATTACTATTATTATACACGCAAATAATAGAAAAATATATTGGCTATACGATTATGTTACACATAGTAAATATACGATGTCGCTACAATATCACTAATCACCACTTATCCAGTTATTGTGTAAATATATCGCGATGTGTATTTTGTACATAAAACATAGAAAATGCGGAAAAAGACTATAGTAAAATATCTCCACCGATTAGGACGTCTGTTTGCATGTCTTTTTGGGTGATATGATCTCTCCATATACTGTACGCGAACGCGAAATCTCCAATAAAAGCTCAAAGAGACATCAGGCGGCGCGGTGGACGAATTTTTGCGATGTTTCCCGTGGAATCTTTATTGAGTTACCCAGTCAAGTATAAAATGTCTTGTTTCGCCATTCAATCACTTGCGTTATCTATTAAATATTTATGTATTTTCTTTTCTTTAAGCGATTTATATAATGATTCGGAAACATTTATGTTTCGATAAGCATTCGGTTGAGTGTTGTCTATTTGTTAAGAACAATGACTGTTCATTTATTGATTGGCCGTTATAAAAAGTCGTGCCACCGCGCCATTTAGTTCCCTTAGTGAATACCGTAGACGCTATATCGTAACATAGGCATATTTTTTAATGAGAAGTAACAATTAATTCACATCTTTATCTATGTCCGTTCCTCAATTTCGCTCTTATAGATGTCGTGATAGACTAGTATTTGTCGTGTCCCTTTAGGCTATAATTAACTTAACGTGTGTACATTACGAACGCTCACTTTCTAGTGGTGTAACTAGTTAATTACGCGTCTTTGTGTGTTATTTCTAATCAATTCTCGAATATAGGCATTTTGTTAATTATCATCGAAGTGTTTGTGTGCGGTTGTATGTGTGAAGTAATTTTGTGTGCCGTTTTCTAAGAGATCAATTTAATTACGTTATAATACACGAACGTTATGTATTTGATTTGTTTCAATGTATGAAATTGATTTGTTTTAGAAATTGGTGCACGCTACTGATAAGATTTCTCTTAGATTTTACTAATGGAGGTAGGGTGACAGAATAATAATTGTATATGTATGTTATGGTCGTTTCAAAAAGAATTTATTATGGTCCTGTTTTATGCTGTGTGGTGCTCAAATGATATCAAGAAGTATATATATATATTTTGGTCCTATGTTTAATTTTACTATTAAATCCTATTGCATGTATTGTTACTTTATATTATTAAATATTTTAAAAGAAACTTATTATATTATCATTATATATAAAATATACGTTTTCATATATTACTGTATGTATAATAACATTGTGAAGGGAAAATGTTGATGGAGAGTAATGAAATTGTAAAATTAATTGATATAATTAGATTTGTTAGTGCCAAAGTATAGGTTTATAAATATCGACTTTAAGTTGGGTTATAGGGTTATAAATAAATGATAAAGTTGAGAATTTTATTGTAAAAATAAAACGAACTAGGGTGTTTCTTAACATATAACTTAACGTAAATGTTGGCGCTACTGGACTGCAGATGGACGCCAATCAGCCAATTTAAAGCTTATTTTGTTAAAAAAAAAATGAGAGGTTGTGACACGTTTGTAAGGCATTCGTCTGTGGTCCGGTAGTATATAAAATTAAATATACAATATAATAAACACATGTAGAAAATTCTACGTCTAAAGCAAACTGATTAAAACGCCTGCTCGGGACCGGGTCGATAAACGTACAAACTGACGCATCTAGCAACTCTGTATCAGTGCATTACACTCATTTATTTTCATATCTACGATTTCCAATAAATCAGCTTAATTTTAATAGATTTATCTGTGCGCTTACGAAAATAAATGTCAGAGAATTAAATGAATTTATATTATTAATTGGGTCATTCAATAATTGTACATTTTAATTTCCATTTAATTCATTTAATTAATAAACATTTATTTTGGATACTGTAACTTTATATATACATGTAAATGGAATTTAAAATTAAATCTTTAATTTTTATATACGTATAAATTTTAATTAAATATTTTGGATCGATAAAAATTGTGCATTCTAGGCATTTGTTTTTCGAGTGGCACAATTTATTTTTACTATTAGCTCTATCTATATATCTTTGGTATACCATTTTATAATACTGGGGATCCATTTATACTTACACATATTTCTATATGTTTGAAACTAATATACGTATATATATAATATATACTTTTATCTATGGCATATGATGAATATGAATTTACACGGGCAACTTTTTTAATATTATATTTATAAATAAAATTTATTAAGTGGATGAGGCCAAATGTTTATTTTTTATTTCTAGAATGAATTCTGATTTCGTGATACTATTTGTTATTTTTTTTTTGTCTTATTTATATGTTTTAATTTAACATAGTTCATTGAAGTAAACTTGACTACGCTCGTATTTTATACACCGAATTTTCTAATTTGACTACCTACTTAATACTTTTTTTATTGATTCGTTACCGTATGCGTATGAAAGAGTTAGACGCTGAATATAGCTGTTTTGTTCTGTCTCATATATACCATATATATATATATTTATAAATGAACACGTTTACCGCATGTGTAAGCGGACTCATCCGCTAATGGCTTACCATTACATATAAATTAATACCGAACTATAGAACCCTTATTGCATCATTTATAAAATAGTAAGTTATTTATTATTATTTTTAAATTAATAATATACAATTATATGTTTTTATTTCTATATTTATACTTATATATATATAGATATATAAATAGTTATATAATATTAAATTATTAATATTTTTTGAGTAAAGTTCTTTCAAATTCATCATACGCCCAAAATATTATACTGCACAACAGAAACTTAATGCTTTAATCGTGAAACAGGTATTTTGGACTTTCATGTACATTCTTAAAACTATTTCAGAGCGCTGTAGTTTAATATTTGAATTTTAATACACAATTTCTAACCACCACACGTACTATTGTATAATTTTACACCACTATAAATATAAATAGCGTTTAAGACATCTGCGGTTTATATTATGTTCATTGTGATTTTATACACTAGTGACCGAGTAAAACATGTTGATATTTTAAATATATTTCGACTTCTTTAAATTATCTATAATAATAACAATAAAAAAAAACCTTTATTGCTCATGATAAATATAGAAAATAGTTTATATATTGCACTAAAACATACAATAACAACAAGAAGTCAATAACAATGTTAGCAAAGGGGAACTTATCTCTAAAAGAGATTTCTTCCAGTCAACATAACATAGTGGCATAGGAAGTAGTGAATGGGCAGTAGTTTGTTTATTTTAGTAGTTTATTTTGTATGAATTAGATTTTTTTTTTATTGTCTGGGAAGCAAACGAGCAGACGGTCCATTTGATGGAGAACAGCTACCGTCGCCCATAAACACCTGCACGAGAGGAGTTGTTTGTGCATTGTCGACCTTTCAAATGTTTGTAGGTACGATTTTCTAATTTTTTTATATAATAATATAATATTCAAATAATTGCTTAAATTAAAAAGTAGGCGTCAATTAAAAAAAAATAAGTAATTTACTAATACATATTAATTACATATTGTACATTCTTATTATTATTTTTTCAAAATTCATATCGCTCTCTTAAAGAGAAGATTCAAGTTAAACCTCCAACAGGGACATAGTCGGCCAGGGTTTACTTCATTATACAGTAATATTTATATTATAATATAATTAAAAGCAAAGACAAAAAAAAAGCTGGTAATGCTATTTTTTGTCTATATATTTTTACGTAATAACATCTCCCATTGTGATGAAAAACGAAGAGTTTTTATTCATTCCATTTATATTTCTAATACAGGTATTGTGGATAAATATATTGTGGACCTTTTATTCTGCTTAGAAATATATATTAAAATTAAATTAATTAAAATGTTTTTTTTATTAAACATTATCGGCATGATTATCTCGGTCACTAGGCAATACTTATATAGTTCATAATAAGCACCCGCTACATAGTCACTAACGCCCATTCTTGGCATTATATTGATTTCTAGTTCACACACATCACTATCGGGTCAATAAATCCATCCATAGGGGAAAAGTTCCATATTTGAATAACACAAAAACATTTGTTGAAGCCACAATTTCAATTATGTATCGCCTCAAACACGGTAAAGTTTGATTTGAAACGTTTCCCATAATCTAAGATTCGGGTATATTATTAGATAAATAGATATAAAAAATAAGTCACGAATCGACCAACCCGTGGAACTGTAATCTCGCTTGGCGAAACTTTCGGGTCTCACCCGCTGGGAGACGTCGCGTTTTGGTTAAATTTCCCTATGGATCGATGGTGGGTTAACTCGCAACATATTGACCAACATTGCTTTTATCTTCGCTCACTTATCTCATAGTTCTCCACGTTGTGTTCCTCTGGCTTAACCATAGTCGAATTAAAATAAATTAAAATAATAATACGACTGCAGTGAGTTGATTAAATGCAACCGAGTGTAATTAAATATAAGTTTATAATGAAAAGCCCCTATGGAGGTTTTTATAATAATAAACAAAATAAATGATACAAAGGTAAATTTGTAAAATAAACTCGACGGGTAAAATGTTTATTCGTTAAAATTGACTATCGTAAGTAGTATTCGATTTGTATAAAACTAAAATAAATTAAAGCAATCTGATTTATACTATGCTGTTGTTTTATTTTATTAAACTGCCCAATACACTTCGAGGAATTTTTTATATACAATATTACAATTTATACAATAAAATGGAAGAGTCTGTTTGAAGGTGCTACACGTAAACTATATACATTTGATAGCTCATTTCTTGAGAAAGTTTATAGGCTATTCAATAATGGACAAAGTCACGGTTTATTGTTAGTAAGTAAATAATTCTTGTTTAACAAGAACATTTTAATTGTCCGTGTGGTCGCGGCGTAAAATAGGCCAACCCTTTCTTTCCTGTAAGTGTCGTAAGAGGCAAATAAAAGAATTTAATGATAGAGGAATGGGCAACAGGGTCCCTCTTGAAACATCTCTAAAAGCCTAACTGTGGTTGTCAATTCGCCTGTCAAGCCCATTTCTCGCCCTCAATTAGTCGCCTCTTACGACACCTACGGGAAAGGAAGAAGTAGTCTATTCTATGACATTAAAGGATTAATAGTTTTTTTTTAATTCAACTAGAATGGCACACGAGCTGATGGTTCAACTGATGGAAAATGGTAACCGTCGCCTATAGACATGAACAGTACCATGGACACTGTTTCGCTCATGTTATCCCCATACATTACCATTACTAAAGTGTTATGTCCCTTCAAACCGAAACACAGCCATGCAAACACAACTGCTTCACGGTGGAAACATGAATGGAACAGAGGTGCTCAAGCAAACGACTTTTGAACAGTCTCCCTAGTAAATTACATATTATATATTATATTACATATAAAAAAACCTTCTTATATATACAAGCGTTTCAAATAAACATATTTATGAACATCAAAGGTTTGTATTGTACGAAAATCGAATCTGCGAACATCGGATGTCTAGGCGATGTTTCAATTTTTATTTGTGATCAGTAAATCACTATGTATTCCAATTGATATTAAAGACATAAAGAAAGATAATAGAGAGAATATTAAAAAAGCGAGCTCAGTTACGTCCGTGCAAACATTTATATGTCTTATCAAGCGTAAAACCCAATATATTTCTTCCAAATCTTTGTCGTCGTGTCATCTGTCGAAATTGCCCTCTCCTCACTAGAGCATCGCAACTCTTAGATTTTATCGTTTACTGGGAACTTTTGATGCGACAGGCGGCAGGTGCAAAGATATTGCTTATCTGACAGCCGGGGGGAGGTCTATCGATCCTTCGGGACCTTCAAATGATACGGCCTTCTCTGAAATTCACTAAAGGGAATTCAACAATGAAAGGTGTTTAAGACATTGATTCAACCTTTATTTAGCTTTGTACGGTAACACCTGACGATTTCGTGTGCTCAAACGCTTACATCCTTATTAATAATAATATATGCCGTACAGTCATACTAATCCTTTTCTTAGGTTAGAATATCGAGGATATAGGTATCCTATATCAGGATACCTGAGGATAAGTCTGCCAAATGTACATAGAGTTTCACTGTGCATTAAAGTTTAAATAAATAAATATAAGCTAGGATAGAAGGATATTAAATAAAAACTAAAAGTTTAGCTCTAAAAATTTATTTATTTATTTAAGGACAAGCAACAAAGCATACATTTATATCTACTTAAAATACATAATAATATGATTAAATTATAAAATGCTGCCTTAATTAAAGGCCGCCACGTCACGCGTATTCTTATTATAAATAACTACAAGAAGAAAAATGATAAAACTACTGTACTAAGTATACAATAAATAATAAACAACATTTGTACACTTATAATCTGTATAGATTATGTGCGATAATACATGCCATGCTATTAATAAGATGATTAAACAAAACTATACAATTTATACAATACGGATTTTGTTAAATGATAAAAAATTTGTTAAATGTCGTGTTGATATCAATATTAATTTTATGCAATTGTGACAACAGACTGTACTTGAACTGCATTCTGTTAATAGCTGAGAAATGGCCCAGGCTTGTTC